CAGGAAACTGCAGCAAATTCGACAAGCGAGAGAGCCCACTCCTGAAATTCCCACCGATCTCCGCCAAATCGTTCCGGATCCCGACAAGCGCCCGTTGCGCCGACGAATCCGACGTTGTAGTCTGCCGACTGAGCCGCTCCCCCGCGCGATCCTCCACCGAAGCAAGGCGGCGGAGCGAGGAAAGCCGCGACGCCGCGGAGCTGGCGGCCGATGGTCTGACCGAGTACGGACAAGTCCTCCTTCACTCCACCGCCGGCGGCAGAGGAAGAAGAAGAAGACGACGACGACGGCTCTGAATCATCGGTGATCTGGAGAGACTTCAAGAGCCAAGACATCGTTTGTTAACCCCAGAAGCAGAAGAATTTCTTTGGGGGAAATCCTTCAGAACCCTAAAAATGCTAATTTATCAGGTTTTTTTTATTTATTTTGTTTTTTTGCTAAAAATGCTAAATATTTTTAAAAATAATAATAAATATATTTAAAAGTAATAAAAATATTTAAAACTGACATCCTACTAGTTTAAAGTTGGTGAAATCATAAATGGTTGGTTAATTGTCCATTTTTGGTAATAATTTAAGGTTGCATTTGGAAATAACACAAAAAAAAATCATAATGGAATTCATAGATAGACACTCCTTTCTAAAATCAAATACTACAAGGAAACATTATTACACACCTTCTTCATCAACATGAATAATCAAATCATCTCTCCCAAAATCACCAAAAAAAAAAATACAAATAATATTTACCAAATGGAAGAAATCTCTACACATCTACAAACATCGATCACATCACTACATATACATATATATATAGTGCATTGACATGACATCTCTCTCTTCCTCGTACCTGATCCGTAGTTCCAACTTCCAAAAACGTTAGGGATTTTATCATTTATGCCCCTTTGTGTTCTTGGCTTATGATGATACACTTCAAGAATCATAACCACATTATCAACAAAGAAACACCCTCACATAAAGCTTGTGTACGGATTATTACCATGAACCTGCACACCGTGTCCGTATGAATTCGTGTTAGCGTTCGAGTTTGGGACTGGGACGAACGGATTACCGAAAGGGTTCGGGTTCATATTTTGTTGCGGTTGCGGAAATTGCGGTTGATATGGTAGTTGAGGAGGAGCCATCATCATTCCCGGGTTTGGTTGATGGTACATGAATCCCTGGTGATGGTGATACCCCATTGATGACATCTGAACCGAGGGACGGGCCATGGCTGGGTTGGAGACGAAGAACGGGTCGGGAATCCCAGGTTGGACCATCGAGCCATTGTGAACTAGGGTTTGGTCCCACGGGTTGTAACTCCTGGTCTGGTTGCTCGCCCTGATCGCGTCGTCATACAGGCTGTCGAGTGTGAGTTTATCCAACCCGCCCGCCTATTTCGTCCAAAAAAAAACACAGAGAAAATCATCGATGCAAAATTGTTCGTGTGAAAACTCGAAATAGATACCCGATGGAACGAGAGTATTACCAGTTTGCTATTGATTGGAGCACTACTGTTCGAGCTCGGGGCGGTTACGAGCGCCAGCTCCCACCCAGTTGCATTTCCATTACTTCTAACAGTTGTGGAAGTCGGTTCCTCAGCTGGAAAAAAAACAAAACCATGAATGAGAGATGGAACTCGAATTCTCGAAATTCCATTTTTCTCGCAGACTCAGGCCTCGACTCTGTATCACTTCTTGAGAAGAACTTACCACTGATAGGGACAATAGCCAAAGCAAAAGCGTTTTTCTCTTCTATTTCCGCTGCAACCGGGGCTGGATCATCCAATGACTGGTAGTATCCGAAAGTTAAACAAGCCAGCGACGTTCGAAAAATGACGAAAAATTGTAAAATTGTGGAGAAATTAGCAAAAGAAACCGTACCAACAAATCGGGTTGTTGAGCAACCGGCTTCTCTGCTTCCTCTTTAATGAGTTCTGGAGGAGGAGAAGGTGATGCTGGTTTCTCTTCTACTGCCTCTGGAGGTTTTTTGTACTCTATGGCCAATACATCTTTCGGAGCAGTAAGTTTATTGTCAACTGCCTGTCGTTGAAAAAAAAACAGTTAAAAATCAACTCGGGCCACAGTGGAATCCGATGAAAACTCGCATGAAAACAGAAATTCAATGGAGATATACTCATCGATTTTGGATATTAATGGTTTACTTGCAAAAAAAAAGAAGGAAAAGGAGAGAGATCTATGAGTTAATTCTCATACCTGCTCTTTCTTAGCTCCGGCTGTCAATGGAGCTTCTTTCACATACTCTTCCATTGCTTGCAGAAAAGAAGCGGGAGGCTATATAGAACACGAAAGAGAGAGATCGTGATGAAGCTTGACGAAGAACAATAATGTCATTATCGGGTATGAGGGCATGACGATAATCCAAACCTGTTCAATCTTTGTAAACCTGTCTCCACGTCCAATATAAATACTTTTGCAGACTTCGTAGAATTCAGACAATCTCTCAGCCTGAAATATGGCATCAAGATATAAAATTCGACTTTCGCCCCCAATCAAATGGCAGAGCCCCCAGGATAGGTTTCTGCATGTATTTTACCTGCTTTCCTGCCCTTCTGTAAATATCCAATGCCTTCAGAGCATCGTTCCGTTGCATCTCAAAGAACTGCCATTGTGAAAACGTCAATCTCCAAGTAGCTGCAAAAGTAAACGACGGAACCAGAAGAGAAAAAATTTACCTACCTTATCAACCAAATTGTCTAAGCCATCTGTAAGAGCTTGGTAAATTTTGGTGCTCTCAGAAACTACCTGGATGGCACGAGGAATTAAAAAACGAAAAACCATGAGGATTCCATCACCAAATAATTCGACTTTACGAAAATCGAGGATTAGGGTTTTGTTAGAATACCATCGAGAGTGCCAATTGGATTACGTGGTTGTGAACCGATGCTCCTTCAGGCTGTAAAGATTCCCCCAACATACATTTCAAGTGAGAAAGAGAGCGAAATGATGCAGAAACAAAAGTAAAGTACTATATACGAAGCCAAGAATTTGTCAATGGCAAATTCCGTGGAATTGAATCATCACCTGACAACAAAGAACGCGGAAAAGCAGTTGTTGCAAAGCTGGTAGTTGTTCAAGCAGACCAGGAGTGTCCAAATCTTTGGTTCTCTGTAATAAAAAAGCAAGCATTGTGAATCCTCCAAGAAACTAAAGTTCCGGGAACTGGTAAGAAACAGATAGAAACGAAAACTTACTGGGGCATCGATTTCAACGTCATACTTCAAGACACGGAAACACTCCAACCGCTCT